GCGCGGGAGGTGTCCGTGGGCTACGTCATTGGCCCCTCCTCTCCGTCTCGCTCTAACCCGATGGGCATCGCCACCCGCAAGCACTCCAGGAAGAAGCGTCTCATACTCGTCCTCTCCTGTCCCCGCTCCGGGCCCGCCCAAGCATCCACAGCCCCTTCCCTCCAGCGCCCTTCTCCCTGCAGTCCGCTACCGTGGACCACGCGATCAGGCTGATAAAGACTTTCGGCCCCGGCTCCTGGCTCTCCAAGGCCGTCATCCCGGACGCGTTCAAGCTGCTGCCATCCACCCCGACCACTGGCGCTGTTCAGGGGTCAAGTGGCGTCGGAGTTCTTCTTCGCAGTGCGCCTCACCTTTGACTGCCGGAGTAGTTCCTCTCTGTTCAACAATCTCTCGGAGGCGCCGTGTCGGATTCTGCTTAATTACGCGCGGCTCCCCTCTGTCTGCATCTCCCCGATAATTCCCTCGTAGTCAACCCACCCTCAGACTGCTCCGGGGGCTCTCTCCGCAAGCTCAGGCCCGCCTTCTCTGCCCTCGGATTCCTCCACTCCGGAAAGACCACAGGCCCCGCCAACGCTCTGGAGTTTCTCGGCATCCGCCTCGACACACGCGCCATGGAGGCCTCCCTCCCGCTGGACAAGCTCGAACGCATCCGCGCTTTCTCCCGGTCTGCCTTGGCCTTCCCGTCACTTCGAGGCGTCCTTGCTCTCCCTCCTCGGGCATCTTCATTATGCCGTCCGTATCATTCCCCAAGGTCGTTCTTTTAATTCCAGACTCCTCTCCCTCGCCGGCTCCGTCTCCTCCCTCAATGACGCTGTCTGCCCGGACGCGGGGTGCCGCTCCGACCTGGCGTTCCGGTCCCGTCTGCAGAGCCGCTGGGATGGTGTATCTCTTTTTTTTACAGTGACATCATCCTGTCTCAGATGCCCCGCGGTTCTTCACGGACGCAGCCCCGTCCGTGGGTTTTGGGGGTTTTTCCAGGACCAGTGGTTCGCCGGGCCCCGACCCGACGCTTTCCCTCGAAGCATCTCCTCCGCGCTCCACGAGATATATCCCGTGACCGTAGCCTGCGTGCTGCGGAACCATACGTGGCATAGGAAAAGGATTTCCGTGACGTGCGACAACCTCGACGTCATCAAAATAATTAACAGAGGTCGTTCATCCTCTCCCCAAAATCACATCCCTCCTTAGACGCATCACATGGCTCTCAGTCCTGAACAATTTATCATCACTGCTCGTCACGTCCCTCGTCACCTAACTGTCTTTCTGACGCCTTTGCCCTTCTGCCAATCCATCGCCATGCCAGATCCCCTGCACGGAATCCCTCGCCCTGGTCTAGTCCCTCCGTCTCTTCACCTTCTCTCCTCCGCTGCATCCTACATGAAAATGGGCTTCTTACGCATAAGAGAATTCACAAACTCTCACGCCACCTTTAAATGCATCCCGAGACATTGCCTTCTCTGACCTGTCATATTATCCCGACTACTTCAACCTCCACCTCAAGCATTCCAAACGCAAAGGCGCTTGCAATATAGTCATAGCTCGGTCTGACACTTCTCCCTGTCCCTACAGATCCATGATGCATTACACTCGCCTCTGCTCTCGGAAAGGAGATCTTTTACTCCCGATAACCTCCCATGTCATCCAACTGGTTCAGAGCCCAACTCAAGTCCGTACTGCTGCTTTGTAACCCGTCTCCCCATCTCTACACAGCCCACTCCTTCCGGATAGGCGCGGCCACGCGCGTCGCGTCCCTGGGGCTCCCCCATTCCGCCCTCCAGCAGCTGGGCCGCTGGTCATCATCGGCCCTCTCCTCATACATCAGGCCTGACACTTCGACCATCCTGGCAGCCCAGCGGCTTTTGGCATCTCCATAAAACACTCGCTAAACTTCCTGGTGGCGGCAGCAGCTGAGTATCCGCAAGTTATGGTCACAGTAGATAGCGGTCACAGTATATAGTGATAGCGGTCACAGTATATAGCGATAGCGGTCACAGTATATAGCGATAGCGGTCACAGTATATAGCGATAGCGGTCACAGTATATAGCGATAGCGGTCACAGTATATAGCGATAGCGGTCACAGTATATAGCAAAAAATGGTTAGCGCATGATGGTCATCAGCATATAGCGATAGCGGTCACAGTATATAGCGATAGCGGTCACAGTATATAGCGATAGCGGTCACAGCATAGAGTAGTCTCGACGTTCTGTCCCCTCCAAACCAGGCTGCAAAAACTCCATCAACACACAGCCTTTTTGGGGATTGGCACGCTCCATCGCAGGAGCCCCTCCGATCTGAAGGCCGCACCGGGGCCTAGGGCGCCAAACCTCCTCCCAATAAAATACTCAAATACGAGAAAATACTTTTCTCGTCTCTCCAAATTGAAATGCAGCCCGCGGAAATTCAATTTGGTAGACGTCAGCCAAAGTTAACCCCTCCAGGCCGGTTCACATCCCCAGCCTATCGCACGGCAAACGCCCCCTTCCAATCACCGTACCGGCCAGGCAAGCCGCTTAAAAGCGGAGAAACTCCCACTCTCGGCCTTCTCGAAGCCTGCAACCACCGCCTCCCCTCCTCCTCCTCTTCACCCTGCCTTCAATCTGCCTTCAATCTGCTTCCCGCTGCCAAATGCCGCCACCAGTGCCTAGGTCCCGGGGGATTGGCACGCTCCATCGCAGGAGCCCCTCCGATCTGAAGGCCGCACCGGGGCCTAGGGCGCCAAACCTCTTCCCAATAAAATACTCAAAAGCTTCTTGTTTTCTCGTCTCTCCAAATTGAAATACTTCTGCTTTGGTCTGATATTGACCTGGGCTGGTTCAACTTCCACATCTGCTGGAAACATGATCAAAGATTTGTCATTGAATCCAAACAGGATCTAGTTTTAGCTTTTAGAACCCTGATGTTAGCTCCAGACACGTTAATATCAGGGGCACACACACGTCCACCCACCCCTTCTGCTTCATGCTTTGTTTTCAATCCCTTTTCACAATGAGGAATTCTCAGATTACACTAAAGGAAGCATTTTTGGTTGTTATACAGATTGAGTAAAGTTGTTTAAAACCAAACTGCACCAAAAGGGTAATAGGCCTGGATACTGGAGCCAGATGTATTTATTCATGAATTTATTTATTGTATTTATTTTATTTATTTATGTACACCAGGGGCTCCACTGTGAAAACTTTTGTACAATTATTTAAAATGACTATTTTATAAAAGTGGATGTGGATGGCCAGCCCAGGTCAACATCAGACAAATGCTTTCATAAGACATATTGTGAATGTGAATCCCTGTGTGCTGGAGACGAGTCTGTGTGGTCTTGTGTGGCTCGTGGCTCAGAGGCTTCTGTGGGAGGATACACATACAGTACAGACTGGGACCAACATGCTCCATTCAGTGGTTCATTTCTTAGTCTTTTGTGTTAGTGTGATTCAAGCATGGCATGTTTGAGTCATGTATATGCTCTCTTCCATCGCTTCTCTACCTCCTTAGACCAGTGTCCCACACCCACGGATTCTAATTTGCATATCACCGAGAGAGAACATTGGCAGAGGATGTCACAGGAATTTTGTATTCAAAAAAAAAATCTGCGTTGAGTGTTGAGTGTTACAGCGAGACTGAATGTAGGAGTAAGTTTCCTTTATTTATAGCGCGCACCTAGATTCTCACAGTTAAGATGGGACAGTTTAAAAACAAAACACACACATTAAACACATTCATAAAATACAATACATTCCAGTGAAAACAGACTCCAGGGCACTATCAAGTAAACCTAAACAAGTCTTTAGATTTGCTTTGAATGACTATGGATTCCAAGGTTCTCCTGGAATACGCTTTGGTGCCACCGACTCTAAAGCTCGGGCAGATGTTATTAAGTCCATGGGGCCGTTAACAGTTGCTGATTGACAGACATGAGACTGTAACCCGGTACATGTCCGTGCAGAAGGTCAGACAGGAAGCCTGGAGCCTGGCCATGAAGCGCTCCGTAGGTCAGGACCAAGATTTTTTAGTTAATATTTAGATGATTTCGTAAGCAGTCCTGTGGCAGCCCTCTGTATCATCTCCAGCTGGTCAATTGCTTTATTAAGGCCAATGAGTGTGGACAAGTTATGACCGTTATGATTTCTCAGGGCTGAGACCAATAATTAGTCAAGGAGGGCGATGACCATAACCTGGCAAGGGATGTGTTTGAATTTTGATTATTATGGCTCAACGCTTGAAAAAAATGGTCAGAAACTTCACCCACATTGCCTAGTATAAGCCATTTTCCATTTGTTTATTTCTTTCAAATATGCACAAGATATACAAAAAATTTTCACTGGGATAAAATGATAAGAGTAAAAAATTAGTGAATGATAGGTGGTGGTCGTCCAATAAGATCTGGATTTGGTTAGAATAATTTGCCGCTATGACCAATATAGATTCATAGTTATTTTCCCCCAAAAAAATCAGTTGACTCATATTTACTAACTAGATAAAACGTGCTTTATATGCCTGGATAGGATCTAAAAATAACTTATATCTAACATGGACAGAGAAAAAGTACTTTTGCAGCATGCATCACAAAACATGTGCAGTGGCTTTGAATGAGTGCAACTGTCCCAGGTGCAGAGACACACACACACATATGCTTGCTCACACACTATATGCATGGGCACTCACCTACACACACTCACACACACCCAGCTAATCTCATAATCCTGCACAGATGTGAAAGCTGTCTGTGAGGAGACGGATGAGGCAACCCACTCCTGACCAAACAAAACCGGCTTCTGTCTGCGCTGCAACGTTTGTAATCTCATTATCGATTCATAACAATGTAATAAAAGACTCAAGTTCAGTCCGTCCGAACCACTCTTAGCTCTGCCCATTGACGTGGTGGTAGTGTATACAAATGTCAAATCTTTACAGGCTTCTCCGATCAAGTTTGTGATGGGCAGAATTTTCCCTCCGCTGAGTGTGACCGATTCAGAAAAGAAAATGGGTCAAGAAAGCAAGAGGTGTCATGGGGAGGGGCCAGGAGGAGGGAGGGCGTCTAGAGAAGACAAGAGAATATAAATTACTCAAACATGAATCGTTCTAAAGCAACTGTGAGTGTGTGAATGACGAGAGAAAAGTGTAACATGGTCAAAAACTGTGGAAAGTCAATTTTGCAGACTATAGTGCAGGCATGTCCAAACTCAGGCCCGGGGGCCAATTGCGGCCCTCAGTGTCATTCTATGTGGCCCTCTGCCTTGCTAAGTAGTCTTTGAGATCATAAACACAAGTTCACTGTGCCAATTTCAGCTCAGCCAATATAGACCTTGTTCTAAAGCCCAGAACGTCTGGAATTTAGTCATTGCGTCACACACTTGTAGGTGCTAATGTAGCTAGTGAGATGGTAAACATTTGTCATTCAGCCAACTTCAGCTCTGTTATAGATCATTTTAAAGCTCATAACAGCTTGATCCCATGAAGCTGTTATGGGCATAGTCTGGTCCTCCCGGTTCTGCGCAGTGGACGAACTTGATAGGTTGTGCCAAATACGCATGCACAGAGGGGCTTGGCCGCGCTGTGACCAATCAGCTGCTCGGCTGCTTATCAGAGCGGAGCTAGAGCGTGAGTTAGAGCGAGAGCTGAACAAGTATAGTTTGTGGCAGTAAAGTGTGGATTTAAAGAAAACCAAGGGATTTAAGAAGAAAAAAAGTTCTGGATGACAAGGGACACTAAAATCCCCACAAAATTCGACCTTTATGAAAGCTGTAAGTTCTCTGTCAGCTGAGGTTTGAGCTGTTTTAGTTTACATTGAGTTCTATGGGGAAAATTTCTGGGTAGCCTAGTACCGTGAGAATCCCCCGAGCACATGGGTCCTTCAGCTCCAAGCTAGGAATACCCTATCCAGTTATTATAATAGATCCATGTTAGAAACTCCCTGTTCCTACATTTACAGTTTCATGTATTTTGAGGAACGTCTGTCTAAGCTTTGGACATCTACAGGTGAATTTATCAATCCAAAATGATTGAAAACCAAGCAAAGACCAGGACAGAGACCAGAGTCCAGAATTTTGTACATGTCTGTGAAAACATAATTTGCACACTCTACTTGTTTACGTCAGCGTTTGTATTAACATATGAGCACATTTTCAGCAGCGGGCTTTTGACAGCATCTGTAAATGAAAAAACACAGGTGTTTGCAGTAACAGTGTGCAAGAGTTTTTTTCCTTTTCCACTAAGAGAAGACGAACGATCACTGTGAGGTGATTTAGTGTGTGTGTGTCTGTGTGTGTGTGTGTGTGTGTCTGTGTGTGTGTGTGTGTGTCTGTGTGTCTGTGTGCTTGTCTATGTGCATTTTCACTTTGAGAGAACACACAGCATAAAAGGCCTCTCCAATGGAGCAATGTGCATGTATTTGATTGATTGATTTTATCTCCACATACATGATTTCGATACAAAGGTTGGACTGAATCAGGCATTTCAATGTCACAGTGATCTTTGAGAAGGTTCTGTAGTGTCTGATGGGAGCTAAAACCTGAGGGAAAAGGCACATGAGTTTACGGCATAGACTGTATATATTAACGGACAGAGTCACGCCTATCTCCGCCGTTTTAACTAATGGGCCAAAAATGTGCTCTACTGGAGCAATCCAATGGCCGTGAGTGGTCCCGCCCACAAGAAAAATTGTGAAAAAACGTATCGCCGGCTGACGTATGCGCAGCTTCATTCATTTGAACGAGAGACTTCAAAAATTCACAGCAAGTAAACTAGAGTGGACCAAAAAAAATTCACCCTCATCAGCATTGACACACATGTGGAACGGAGCTTTGGGCCAAGAGCCAACTTTTGGACCATCCTGTAAAGACGTTTTCGAGAGGTCAGCTAATGCTATATGTTAGCATTGACTAATTCTTATTCTGGGTCCACCCCCATCGGCCCGGGGTGGTATTGCAAGCATGTCAGCGCACGTCATTTTGGCCACTTTTGAGCCGGGACCCCGCCCCCACTGGTGTACGGTAGAAAAATGATCAAAATTAAAGGAGCAGTATGTAAAAATATGGCCAAAATTGGTACTGCAACCTCTCCCACTTTCCTTGACTCAGGTCAAGGAAACAAATCTATAACCAACACCTTTTTCATACGGATAGAAATCCTTGTTATATTCCTTGTTTTGTCATTAATGATTTGAGAATCATAACAAGACTTTTTTTAGTTCTGCGGCCGCATGTTACGCATGAGAAAAAGATTGACGTGGTGAGTTCTGGCAACCCGGATCACAGACTTTCTGATTGGTGAAACGGTGGAGGCTGGGGACATCGAAATGAAAAACACCAAGCTTTAGGGGCTTTTATGAATGCCTTTTGACAGACTAGGGCCATTTGGTCATGACTTGATATGAAAATCTTACATATTGCTACTTTAAATGCTACATTTTATATGTACTGTAGGGTTTCCTCCTGTGGACTCGCCACCAGCAGTGAGGATCAGTGAGGGGGCTGATACAACTGAGGGATTTTATATTTTTATCTTTTTTTTTAATGTTACTGTGATTATTTATGATTTTATTACTCTATTGTTTTTTGTTCAGCACTTTGAGTTGCCATGTGTTTGAATTGTGCTATACAAATAAACTTGCCTTGCGTCTGTAAATTGGGTGCAGCTCTGACTACCCCCCCCCCCTCGACCCTGATTTGGATTAAGGGGAAGAAGATGGATGGATGGAAATGCTAATATTGCAATAAGCATTATCATTATCTTTATTCAATAAACATGACCGTTATAAATGATACATTTTCTGATTCTGATTACTTTTAAAGTTTCCATTTTTACAGTGCATCTGGTGTTTTCCGTGACGTGGTCTCCTGATTGATGCAGTTAATTCATTCACACGTAACAGTTGCCTTCCATTATGTAGAAATGAACTTTTGGAGCTGGAGGCGGCGTGCGGCTGATGTCATGTCTAAGCAATACTTTCACCAAATATATGTGTGTGTATATTAGGCCTCTGAGCCAAAACCAAATCATTTCACAACCTTTCCTCCAAGCTGTTTTGACAAATTTGAATTTTTTTTGTTTTGCACCGGCCGTTTAACCCTCGGGGCTGCAGAGGCAATTGTGTTTTCATAAAGTAACCTGGGTTTTTTTCTTGCTGTGTTGAATTGTGTAAGAAAATACTGGCTTGAGGGCAACATCGGCAGTTGACGTGAGGATGAAGTCTGAGGCGGGAAAGCTCACTAAAATAGACTTTTTATTAAACAGCGATTCAGTGTACTCCAATGTATTATTGATTTTGAATTGTAATCAAAATATGTAAAAGTATGTGTATATGTGACACCAACAAAGTGCTTGGAGCATAAACGAGAGGGCTATATTTTCAAAGAAGGCGTGCGGCGACCTATCAAAGAGCCGCACATTGGTGCTGGGGTCGCATGCCGACCACAGAAGGAAGAAGAACACATTTGAATTCTGCCAAAACAAGAGCTAAACCAGGACTAAACCAGGATTATACCAGGACTGACATTGGGGGTTGCAGTGATTTGTGGAGTTCACAATGTACCGTGACTGGATTAAACAAGAGCTGCTGACATGATCGCACCGAGAGGGAAGTACCGGTGCTCATACTGGCCCAGGTCATGGAGAAAAAGGTGGTAATCTGGAAGGTTCTGAAAGATTATTCTACTCATTGTAATCTGAATATAGTACAGCGCTTTGGGTGACCTTCGTCTGTAAAATGCGCTATATAAATGAACATTACTTACTATTGTTGAATAAGCTGCTAGCTCACACTTTTCTGTCATCAAGCGTGTCCCCACCACAGCACTGAGACCGCTCTTATCAAGGCAAACAAACGACATTCGACTGAACACTAACACAGGCAAAGTTAGATCTGAGTGCTGCTTTTAGTAGGCGTTATCTCTGGGGAGCAGGTAGAGCATGTGCATTTTTTCAAAAAGTGGAGAGAGCGGTTCTTTCCTAAACTTCTGGAAAATCCTCATATACACCTTTGAATTTTAACAGCCTCAGAACAGAATTTATTCAACCTCAGCAGTCTTTTACCATCCAAAAAAACACAAGATAATGCCTAAATCAGACTTGGAGATTCTTGTCCATGTCCATTTGTCTTCAATAGGTTGGACTATTGTAATGGCCTGCTCACTGGGCTCTCCAACCGAGTCACATTAGTCCAGTTCTCAGGTCCCTGCATTGGGCTCAGAGAATAGACTTGTAAGCAGCTCTGGTTGTGTATAAGTCTCTCCATGGCCTTGCATAGTACATTTGAGACATGTTAGTGCCATATGAACTAACTCAAACTCCGAGGACCACTGGGACTGGCCTCCTGCTGGTGCCAAGAGTCAGGACTAGACTCTGAATACAACTGAGGGATTTTATCTTCACTCTTTTTAATACACCGTAATTATGTATGATTTTAATGTCTTGTGTGATTTGTTTCTATCTTGTTTTGTTAAGCACTTTGAGGTGCCTTGTGTATAGAAATAAACTTTCCTTGTTTACGTTAATCAGCCAATGCGCTTAACTGCACTAGTTATTACAAAAGGTAGAAACTGTGTTCATGATATCATAGCGTAATAATCAAAGCATCTGGACAGAAAGGACAGGGGTAGGTTATCCTGATGTTAGTGTGTATGGATCTAAAAACAAGGGCTTTTTTTTTAACTTAAAAATGTCCCCAAAATGCTAATTTTTAGATTTTATTGGAACCTATTTTCGCACAATCACTGAACCAACGTTTTCTTTGATGTGTCTGTTCTGTGCTCGAAAGGATGTTGGTGGTTTGTAGTTATATGTAGCTGCTTAATTATTCAATGTAGTACAATCTATTATTCATTCTTGCTGAGGAGGCAATTTCAGGCTGAGCAGGGCGGTTCCACACAGCCTTGTATAAAGATATGCAAATTTACATCTAATATACTTGAAAGAATGAAACAGACTATGGCTTCCACTAGTCCAATTAGATCATGTTTAAATGGGACATACGCTTCTGTCCTTGTTGTCATGTGTTTTTTCCGTGTTATTTACACACTCAATTGATTGAACCAAAACTGGACCTAAGGGAAAGAGTACTGTTAACACTCAATACTTAGTTATAGTGAGAATATTGGAAATATTGAATGTAAGAGTGTCAGAGGGGGTGTGGATTGATGGGCTCTTTGTGTTGGGCTTTCACACAAAATTACAAAAATATATCGTGTGACTGGGGCCAAGCCCCCCCCGACCTCGGGGAGAACAAATCCTGAAACAGGCTGTTGTGATGAAGTGAGAAGCTCAAGTATAGGAGTGGAGATTTGAGTAGAGCTGGTGGCTCTACTCTGGTAGTAATTAGTTACTTTACATACTTACTGCTGCAAGAAAGTAACTAAGTTACATTGGATAGGATTACTTTTCTGACGCAAAAAAGATGTCTGCTTTATTAAATTAATAAAAGCAACAACAAATAAGTTGTTCAAAAACTGGCTCAAACTTAACGTGAGAGTAAATGACTCTCGAAGCCCAGGACATTTCTGCAGTAGCACTTCTCCAGATACTTTACAAATCTTTTTTCTGTAATCCATCCACATCTTGTATTTTACGTAAAATGTTTCTGGTGCCTCTATAGTAGCTACTCAAAGTGGTCATCCTCGCTTCTCATTCTCCATGTTGCCACTTGTGATGTTGGATGTTTATCACGTGACAGTGGTCGCACTTCTCATACTTCATTCATTTGTCACTCATGAGGAGACGAACAACAGTCACAACCAAAGTAACATCATTTGGTTGTGACTCAACTCAGTGTAATAACAGTACTTTATTTATTTGCAGATGTAATCCCTTACTTTACTCGTTACCCAGCAAAAAAAGTTATTTGATTCCAGTTAAGGGCGGTGTTCTGGGCATGTACCACCTTGAGGAGACCACGGAAAAACACCCAAGACACTGGACTATGTCTCTCAGTTGGCCTGGGATTCCCCTGATGAGTTGGAGTGAGTGTGTGTGGAGCGGGCGTCCCTGCTCACAACTGCTTTTTCTTGTGACCCAGCAAAACAGATTTTTGCAGGAATTTAGTCGTTGAATAAGAGGTTCAATAAAAAATTAAAAAACATTTTAAAAACTGCCTCTGCCTCACCACCCCATCCCGTCTCTGCCTCATCCCATCCCGCCTCTGCCTCACCACCCCATCCCGCCTCTGCCTCATCAACCCCCATCCCTTCCCTCTGCCTCATCACCCCATCCCACCTCTGCCTCATCACCCCATCCCGCCTCTGCCTAGTCACACCCGCCTCTGCCTCATCACCCCATCTTGTCTCTTCCTCACCACCATCCCGTCTCTGCCTCATCACCCCATCCCGCCTCTGCCTAGTCACCTAGCAACTCATGCCTGCTTAGCCTGCAGTGCTAAAAAATATCCACGGTGCGCCCTGGGCTACGTGTGTGGGAACGTGCTCTGAAGGTGGGACCTCTGGCAGAATGAGGTCACACTCATTCTGTTATTATTTCTATTCCACTGCTCATTTATTAACGTCATGGAGACGGCATGACAAACATACACAGTTGAATCTGTCCGGATAGACTCAATGTATTGATAGAAATGTGAGGATGGCCCACTCTTTCACTTTTCTGTCTGAAAAAGCTGGCGTTTTGACAGAGGCCAGAAATGCATGCATGTGAAAACTAGGGAAAAATTTGTTTTAGAGTCAGGAACTAGTGACATGGATTTTCATTATAGATACAATATCAATCAAAACAACCGATCTTGTGACAAACGTGTCGCAGTGTCTTGGACGCTGCAGCAGCTGTTTTGCGCATCAACTGCTTCGGTGTGTCAAAAACGTTTTCATTGGCTCAAAAGGTTTCCCAGCTTTTGCAATGGTTCAGTGCGTTACATTGCGTTTCGTTGGTGTGACTGCTTTCAGTGGATAAGCCCTAACTATCTACAGTATAAATAATGCATCACTAATATTTCTTCTGATTTTTGGCAACTTAAATGGAGATGCAGGATTTGATGTAATTTTTGATCTTTTTTTAAACTAACAAGGAATTGTCCTCATCTTTTTATGTTATCTATCATTTAAGTTACATGGTGAAACAGTCATTATCATGCTGTGCTTGCTGTGCACTCAATTCAGAAGCTGCAATGATTACATTTGTCCAATAGAGGTACAAGCTAGTCTGAGCTTACAAAGAATGGCTTGAATAAATACATAATTTGAAATGGCAAAAGGCATTAAGAAATCATGGCCTTTTCGAACACTTCTTTAACTGAGAACAGTAAATTCAGCCGGGATATGCTAATTTCAAAATTATTTTTACAGCCTGTAAATCTTGTTATTGTTTTCATTTCGATGTCCCGCCCTCCACCGTTTTATCATTTAGAAAGTCAATGATGCAAAGCTAAACCAGGACCTTTTTAGGACTCGTCTGGCCTTAGCCATCTGTAAACTCTGATTTGAATGATCTTATTGAGTGAATTCTGACTGACTGAACCAAACCAAGCTGTAATGTTGAAAGTGAGAATCAATTCAATGAACGGTGGACTCCTTTAAATGAGTCCAGATGAGGGGTTCAAATCATTACCCACAATAGATATTACCCAAATAGAGTTCGAGCTATAACCTGGTACAATGCATATTTTCCTTGTGTTAATGTTTAATTGTACACTGTTAAACTAACGTACATACCATACCATACCATACGCAATTCTGGAAACATGCTGATTTTTTGACGTAATATATGGCTTAGTTAAAGGTGGTCTTTGAAACGTTACCGTGGACTGCTTTCGCTTTGGACTTTGCTTGGACTGTGACTGTTGCGTGGAAAGTATCAATAACTCACTGTGACACAAACTGTATCTCTTAACGACTCCTCGCCGTACTTCTGTAAAAGGCCAAAGCTACAGTACTCCCATCCCCACCTGCTCCTCCTGCTGTATTTGAGAACTGACAGATGGGCGTTCATCTAGTCACATTGTGTTTGTTTAATACTACAATCGCTGCATATTTACGGCTGATTTACGACACGCTTTGGAAACTAACACAACCGCAACTGCTTCCAATCCAATTCAGTCGACTTAATGATTATTTTCAAAACACCGCATTTGTTTTAAAGCCTCCTGCCGACAATTCCAAGCTTCTAAAAGCGATCATTTACCTTGCGAACAAGCTCCCGTAGAGGATATTATGCCAGAATTATTGCTATGGTGTGGAAGTGAGCTTTATTGGTTGCGTCTAGTTCTCTTTTATGGCCATAACATGTTGGTGCAAATGCGTTTGGGAATTGTTGGGTATTCGCCAGAGTGTCCTGAATGCTGTTAATAATGCTTGTGTTATTCCAGGTGAGGTGCAATGATTCAAAAGGATATCGAACCAAGTGAAAATAAACCGGCAGGCGTACAGTTGTGTCATCAGTAACAATATAATGGATTTGAATGTTTGAATACTCTAAAGGGCCCATGCTAATAACTGATACTTCTAAAGCTGTGTTCCCACCGGATAACGTGTTTGCGGCGAGTTTTGATGCAAAGCCAATGATGACGTCCGCCCATGCGAGGAATTGCATGTACGTCGCGGGATGCACCTTTGTCCCACGCAGCAGACGTGTTGTTGCAGCGCGGCAGAGGCGGTGGGTACGACGGCTAGTTGCACGTAGCGAAAGCAGGAGATGAGATTCACTGTAGCAACCAATCAGAGAGCAGCAAAGTGGTCACGGGGACATATACCGGTCAGAAACATGAAGACGAAGACACTGAAGACGGGTTTAAGCAGCACTACCCAATCCAGATAATATAATACTCCCATGTATGATTGGGCAGCACGGTGCCGTCACTTTCTGCCACAATGGTCTTTAGGATGTTATATGAACAATCGTTTGGAAGGTGGTCTCTGCTGATGGACAAACGCATCAGAAAACTTACAGAACAATTTATATTGGAGGACACAACTGTGATCAAATGTAAATGTAAAGGCACCATGCTGACCACTTATACAACCACTGGCTCACGACAAGATCAAATACAGAAACTTTTCACATAATGGTGCAGTGGCATGAGCTCTGGTGTGTGCTGTCTGGTTCACACTGGGTCTTGCACAGTTTTTCCAATGTGGTTTTACTGCAAATGGACAATAATCTTGACATTACAGTGTTTTCATTTGTCACGGCCGTTTAGTGAGTCCTCTCATGACCTGAACATTCTTCTCAAAAGTTGCGCAGTCTGTCCCCGGCTTCAGCCATTTTAGCCTTGGCAACTGGTTTTGCATTAGGCTCCCACACAGCCTGGCTTCACACTTGGGTACAGTTTTGGAAAATGTGAGAATACCATGACGTGGGAGTGAGGCTTTGGCAGGGCGAGCTCCGGAGACAAAGATGGATTCTCACTGCTCAATAGAATCAGAACAAAATAGAGAGAAATTTCCACTTAAACCAAAACGCTTCTCTTCCCAGACGCGCCCACGCTTTTCGGAAGTCGGCAAAATGAATTGGGCGAAGAAGCGCTAGTACTTTTGACTGCACTAGTATTCCCACAATGGACAATGATGTAATAACATGGTCATCCTGAATCCTGAGTAGTTTTATTGTAATGGACGTAATGAATAGACAGAAATAAATGTAAGTTTTACATGATCACATCAACAAATTTGTCAATAGCGATGCAAAGATAATTATTGTAGTTGTACAAGTTGCAATGTGAATATTGTTAAAAATGTTATAATGATATGGTGCTTTCAGACCGCCAACGCTGAAACGCGGAAGCCCCGCTCACCAGACGCGCATTTTCTAGTTTTCAGACGCAGAGGACTTCACACCAGAACGTCCTGACGCGCACCGGAAGTGCCGGAAGTAGCCGGCCGGCTCTGATGCTAACAGAGTTTAGCTAGCAGCTTCTTGTGTACAGATCTTCTCCAATATGCAGCTTTGCAGCGTGTCTTTGCTCAGAGACTTTCCATGGGCTTTATACAAAAGTAGTATGTGTTCACGGAGGTGCGCCATACGCTTTTTCATATTATTAAACGGTATTTCTGCATCAGCGAACACACTCGAAGCCGTTGCATAAGGTCACGGGAGCATGACAACCCATATTTTCAAAAGCACACAGTCCCCCATTGTCAACCCTGGTTTGAGTTCTGGTGAAGCCTGGTGTGGGTCCTGTTTTGGCTGTTTACGAGTATTTTCAGTCTGCTCGCTCAGTCCGCTAATGTCCCCGTGACCACTTTGCTGCTCTCTGATTGGTCGCTGCACGAACGTCCCAAGGAAAGGATGAGCAGAATCCATCTCCTGTGGGCGTCAATTTTTCACTCCTGCTCCTCCTCTTTGACTTTCCCGTCAAGTCCGTGCGTCTCTACTGAACAGTCCGTGGGTGCGTGCCAAGAGGTCCTTGCGTTGTGACGCTGCAACGTTCGTCACCATTGACTTTGCATTGAAACCCGACGCAACGCATGATCCGGTCTGAAAGCACCATTAGAAGTAAGTAGTGTTGGAGCATGTTTGTTGATCAACAGCTATACATAAAAGTAAATAAACTGATTTCAATTGTGACTGAAGAAAGCTTATGTTGAAGAAAAATGTCCTCATGAGTTGTCTGCTGTTGGATTTAGTTAATATTGTTAAATAATCAGATTTAAGCTGAGTGCACTATTTGCTCTTCTGACCTACTGTATCTGCCATTGCTGTAGACTCATGGGCTGCACCCCTACTCGCTTAGGCACCCGTCCTGCTCCACCCAGCTATTTATTACTATTGTCTGCTTTTTTAAATGTTCAATTCATTATTTTAATTTTGCTGCTACTGGACACCTGAATTTCTCCTACAGGGATCGATGAAGTATCTATCTATCTTTCTCTCTCTACCCTTGGAGAGCTGAAGTGACTCTACAGCCTCAGTCCTGGATCTACAGCCACAGTCCTGGATCTAAACCTTCAGTCCTGGATCCACGGCCTCAGTCCTGGATCTACAGCCACAGTCCTGGATCTAAACCTTCAGTCCTGGATCCACGGCCTCAGTCCTGGATCTACAGCCTCAGTCTTGGATCTACAGCCTCAGTCCTGGATCTACAGCCACAGTCCTGGATCTACAGCCACAGTCCTGGATCTAAACCTTCAGTCCTGGATCCACGGCCTCAGTCCTGGATCTGCAGTCCTGCAGCCTGTCCATCTAGGTAAGTGACTCTCTCTCTCTCTCAGTGGTTTTCCCCTATTTCTCTTTTGTTCTCCCACTGGGTTTTTGGGGAGTAATTTGGGATCTTAGAACAGGGGTTGATCCGATTAGAAAAGTATTAGTATTATCTTCTAACGTACTGTTGCCAATTCAACAATTCTAGCTGCAAAACCAGCTGGCCTCATTTTGA